ATGCGTTGCAATCAAATAAATATGATGTTACTGTGCTGTCAGTCACTCAGAATAGATGTGAAGTACCCAAAAGAAAAAGCGCACCCCATCGAAGTGATTTCATTAGTTACTGTTATAGTTATTTATTTATACATTCCTCTTATCCTTCAGAGGAGAGAAAACTGTTTGTTTTATATAGAACTATACACACTCTTCTTTCAAGATTTTCACATTTATTTCGAAAATATTCTTGAAACAAGTTGATTTCTATAGGGAAGAGGTCTGTCAGCAATTACATATTTCAAGAGAAACGTGAGGGCAGATTGCTAAGAATACATTATTGGCAATCATTATTAGGAACCAGGAGTCAAACAGAAAAATCCAAATAAATGACATTACCATGAACTTTGATCCATTTTGACACAAGGCACGGCAAAGCTATTATCTGAATCCCTTTATTCTTTATAATATGGTTTTTAAAACGGGGAACATTTTCCCCAATAAGCCAGTGATTATCTCTGGGCCCCATAAAGCAGACATTAAAACATTTTCTTCTAAAGCAGAATGAGCTCTCAAGGTCAACTTTTAGTAAACTCATTTATATGCCATTTAGGTTGAGCTCCATAAATCCTATCTTTCATCACAAGATGTTGGATGAATGCACAGAATGTCATCCGACATGTGTCATTTGAATGACATGCTCTAAAAATGCTCAGCAATTTCACAGAAAAAAAACAACAACTTGGCAAGAGTAGAGAACGCACCCTGTTGAATCTTTATTAGCTTTAACAGGCAACCACTCTGAACACATGAGGGTGTCTTTGTGAAATGCTGCTGAAGCTCTCAAATCTCTCTCTCTGCTGCAACACACCCTGGGCACATCTCTGCTAATTTTTGCAAGCTGTTTTGTTGCCGGATGTGATTATTGAACGTTAAAATTTGCAGCAGCCGGAAAACCAGATAAAGGGTAGAGAAAAATCCCTATTTGAAAACGGATATGCAGACTAAGAACCATAGCTTAACCGTCATTTGTAATCAACTTGTTTGAAACCCTTTGCTCTTATCTCTTTCTTTGAGTCCCTGTGGTATTTTTCCCCACTCGGAGTCTCTCATCCCGCCGAATAAAAAGAGCCTCAGAAGAAGATTCTCTCATCCCACCCAAACAACAAGTAAAAAAAAAAAAAAAAAAAAAGGAGGAGGAAGGGGGGTCTTTTTTAACGTTTTCCACGTGGACGTTCCTGATTTTTCATGTCTCTGAGCACATCTGAACACTGTTTACCATCTCCAGGCACCCAATGTTATCTCAGATCGATTCAAATGAGATTTTCCACACTATTTGACAATGTGGGCTGGTGGTTTACTTTGGCGGTCGTCTCACAACTCTCAGCCTGGTGGCGAGGCTAATCTCACTCAGGTTGCGGCTCAACTGTTTCGGCGGGACTCCAGCAAGGGTGGGGGTTTGCTGTCTGTATACGGTTCAAAGCTGAACGTTGATTAATATTCTTGAGGCAAAAGCAGAGGCATGGGGCACACAGAGAAACAGGGGGTGGCGTGAGATGGGAGGGGGACGGGGGAACAGGACTCCCCAGTATTCCTGTCAAGTTTGGTGTCTGACTGTACGGACACTGGCCACCACGCCGCCGCTGCTGCTGCTGCCGCCTCACTGTGAATACTTGGCAGCCCTACGTCTGGATCTCTGAAGATAACGTGTGCTATTAATAAACAAACAGAAGCAATTACTGGGAGGCAGAGGAGAGGAGAGGGATATTGGATTAGGTCAGGATGAGCGGCGGTTTCACTGAAGACTAAACTGATGAGCTGCAGCACTCCAAAGACAGCAGAGATACCAATCCCTCCTCACTGACCCCTGCACCCCCACCGCCTGCAGCCACACAGGGAGATAACACTCCTATGTGTGTGTATGGATTTGTGTGTCAGCACTCCACATGTGTAGACCTTTGTGCATTTGTGTGTGTATGGTCATTTTTTTTGTTATATCCCGCCACAAAAAGTGAAGGCCCTGTGATTTGTAACATTACTTCCACTGTATGTCTTTCTATCTACTATTGCTGTCTAATCTGTCAGTTCTGGTTCCATTTCTAGGGGTTACGGTGATTATTTTTAAGTTGGGTGAGCATTCTTTGGAAACCCAGTATTGTGTTAAGTGATGTTTTAGGCCCTGCAGTGGGTATCAGACTTTGCTGTCATAAATCTACTGAGCCTACTAAGAAAGAAAAACGATTTCAAGATAAATCTGTATGTTTATGTGCAGGCACGTCTACAGGGTCATCAGGTAGGCCCTTAATAACTGGGGTTTCGTTGTATTGGACCCAAGACACTGAGAAGGCTCAACAGTGTGATCCACCCCTCTACTTACCTGCACCCACACACTCAACACTAAAGGTTACCAACATCCTAAAAAATTCATAATCATCCCATAATTGGAAACTAGGAGACATGTTCAGTATTGGACTGATACGGGAATGAGCTTTTGTTCCATATTTTTGAGAATCAATTCATTCCAAATCTATGGGAGAGAAATAGCAGAGAAGCAGATGGAGGCATGTAGAAACAGCTGTTTGCGTCTCTCTCTTCTTGACCCTTGTCCCTTCACTTCCCTGTTGTTTCCCTTCTGTCTGTACCTTTACAATAGACTGCCTTTTTGTCAATGTTATTTTGTATTTTTATATATGTCCGCTGGCTAAACTGTCCAATGTTAATGGTAAACTTTACAAAAGGTGAGATTACAAAATGCCAAAATAATAAAATCAACAGAGCTAATGCAAAATAAGCATGTTACACCTTAAAGAGACGATTTTACTCCTTTGCAAACATCTCCACAGCCAAATCCTATCCGATCGCATCGGTTTGGCATTTCGGCGACATAACAATCCCACATTTAGCTTATTTACAGTTTGACTTGAGTTAGTGGGGCCAAGCAGGTTCATTCAACATAGGCTAGATTATGTTTAATTATGTTCAATTTTCAATTCATGATTGCTGTTAGGTAAATGGCATGTTTCTCATCTTTGTCAGACTTCTGTGTGGATTGACCAGGGTTGGGAGGGTTACTTTAAAAAGGGAATCCAGTACAATTACTAATTACTTGTTAAAAAATGTAATCAGTAATGTAATCCAAGTACCAGAAAATAAAAGTAATGTAACCTGATTACTTTTACTTACTTTTGGATTATTTTGTTACCAAATATGCAAATAAAGACAAGATGCACTGTCACAGTGGATTTTTAGAGAAACATACAATTATAAAATGTCCCATTCACATGAAGTCAAAATTTATGTTTTTAGGCCTATATGTTTTTATATGATGCCTTGCACTAGGTCTATAAGTCATATGGCAGGAACTGGCCCATCAATGACAAAAAATGTTGTTTTGTAGGTATTATTAAAGACATTTTAGAGTGCGTCATTTCCTGGAAAACAATTTTAAAATCTTGATGAATCATCCTGCACTGGGGGGCCTCCATTCATTTAGTGTCCAATGGAAAGTTTTTTAATTTTTTTTTACTGCTGAAAAATAGTTTTTATGGGACCGGGCACCACTGATAACTTCACACCTATATTCACAGATTTTACTGAACTGGATCTGGATTTGATGGAAAATATTTTATGGGTTTCTCTCTGATGTTTCCCGGCTGCTCTGCCTCAACTCTGTGATGAGTTTCCTGATGGACAGATAGCTTTACTTGTTGCTGTAGCAAGTCAGCGAACTGCTGCTAACTAGCTGCCATTATCTAATTAGCTCACTTAGCCTGCAGCTACTGGTCAAATTAGCTCACTCTGCCTGTACTGGGAGCTTAGAGCACCGGAGTGTGTGTTTAGGTTAAACCTAAACTCAAGCACTGGAGGTTTTCAGGCCAGTGGCGGGGGGGATCCGGCTGGGAATGATTGAGGGGAGCGGCGCCGGATGAGCGGGCAACTCAGCTCCTCACTAGTGTGTTTTTACGGGAAACACGTAAATAGCACTCCGCTTTCTGTTTAATGGAAACTTTGTGCTTAAAGTAATCCCTATGTGTAATCCCCCTTTTTACAAAATGTACCTGTAATCTGATTACATCTTTATTTTCAGTACTATAACGGAATACAATTACTTTATTTTGTATCCCGATCATGTAACGCCGTTACATGTAATCCGTTACTCCCCAACCCTGGGATTGACAGCATGTTGTGGCAAACGGTCAACGACAGGTTTGACTGAACCAACTGAAAGGGTGGTCCGAAAATGTGATTCTTTTATTACTGTTTTTTGTCAGTTGCTTAAAATAGCAACACGAGAAGTGAAATAGGCTGCTTACATAAAATCACCTGAATGTGGGGACTGTATGATGACACGTTTATTTAAAAAAGACAAAGAAAACCATAACTTTGCTCAACCTAATTAAATAAAGAGGATGCAATGTGGAATGTGAGTGATTGTGTTCATACTGGGTCTGTGTGTGTTTTTGTGAGCACTTGTGTATGTGTGGGAGGCCCTGATGTAATGTGCATCGAACTCCACACATGAATGATAAATAAAGCATGAAAGATAAATGTGGAGTAATAACTCATTGTTTCATGCTGCAGGTGAACAGCAGTGTCAGGCTGCCTCCTCCTTGCTGTCCCTGTGTGTCACAGGAACAGTGTGTGTCACCGAGTTGGGTTTCAGATTAAGTTTTAAGATGATCTAGTTAAGAATTCCACTATGGCATCTGGAACTCCTGTCAAAGCTGTCCAAGCACAGCAAGTCCAGCATGCAGTGGAGATGACTGACACTCGCTACCATGTCTCATTCTCCTCAGAGACTCGGAACAGTCAATAATTCATCAGGAAGGTATACTCTCCTGCACGAGTGCAAGGTACAGCATGGAGTGGAATCTCTCTCTCTTCCCACTCCAGTTTATCATTTCCTTTCCCTTCGCATTTCTCGTCCTCTCTCGCTCTCTTTACCTCTCCCACTCACTCTCTATATTGCACCACTTCAATAATTCAAAGTCATATATGAAAGCCAATGAAATTTGCCATACCTTGGGTCATTACGATGCCTGCCAGGGATTTGTGTCGAGCGTGCGCAGGACTGCAGCTGCCCACCAGCGACCGGTACTTCTCCCTCACCAAGTGGAATATTGAATCGGCAAAGTCCTGAAAAACACAATTGCTCCCTTAATTTCTACTAGATACAATCTATGGAGACTGACTTCACAGGTTTCATTTTGCTGTCTAATATTCCCCTTCCCTAATCTGTTCAGGTAATACAGTGAGTTTTTGGGAAATACTTTTTTTTGCTACATCAGAAAACAGTCAAACATTCTCTGTGCATTTTTATATATATATATAATGATGTTTCCAACACTACCATTCAACACATTGAGTAATCATAGCATGGCCAATAGAACAGTTTGTTTCAGTTATTACACGCCATGTTATGACAAAACAATGCTTTTTGTAATTTTTATACACATTGTATAGCCAAGTTTACTGAAGAACTATTAGAGGTGAGGAATTCCTGTATTCTTCTATGAATCTGATTTCAGTCTGCACACAGTCCGCCCTTGGGAAACACTTTTCACTTACGTACAGGGAAAGTACACCCCTGAAATTTGCCCGGCACAAAACCACCAGTATCCTTCTATAACTCAACTTAGTGTATGCTAAAGGGTCTTTAGGGGACACATCCAGTGGATTTAGTGTTAAATTTTTCATCACTAAAAGGTTAAGTTGACCAAATATCAGGATATTTTATGTAAGTGTATATATATATATATATAATGTATATCTTTATAGATAAATGATGCTATGATGTTAATTATTTGCACTTTAGTCCATTGACAGTCAAAGGTTATCTTGTTTGTAGAACAGACTTAAAGGGGTACTGAAGAGGTTATCTCGGCTTGAGATCCAAAATGTTCAACCGAAAGCCAGTTTCAAAAGTGGTGTGCATTAAAGAGGCAGTGAGGGTTTCGACCCATACTACAGACAAAACGTCAGAAGGACTCGACCTCTGATGCTTCATATAGACCATTCTTTTTTTATTCTCTCTTGTGAGTGCCTCCACTTTGCAACGGGTGTCGCGAAAATGCTACTATAGACACAAAAATAGAGACAAATAACAAATTTACAAATAATGTTGCTAGGCAACCACCGAATCAGCTGTCCTGTCAGTCTAATCAAAGATTACAGCGCCAGCGATCTGTAATTTTTGCCTTGCTGCTAAGTAATAGCAGAAACTTGATCACAACTCACAGGTCTGTGTCTTTTGTTGTTAAAAACATCTACTTTAAAAAATGGACAAACGGAGAGCGCCTGCTCTGGCATGGTTTGAGTGTGAGAGGTGTACAAACACGCAAGAGGCAGGGAAAGGGAGATCCGTGTGGGCACATGAGACCCTCAAAAAGAGGAGACACCAGAGTGCTAAATTACTTAAATATAATCATCATCACCCTGTCTCTCTGCATCACCTCCACTGACCCTACATACATACAAAGAGATTCCTTGCTTATAGAACACTGTTGTCTTTGTGTGATGACACATTGCAAACTGTTGTTTACAATATTATAGCCTATATGCCTGTTAATGAATATATAAATCGTTTAGGTATATAATAAATGCATTACTTATCGTGCACCTGAGACTGTGCTGGGTCCTGCCTCACCTGCTCCTGCCACAGTACCTTTCCATCAATGGAGAAGTCGGCTAATTTGACGCATTTAGCTGCCTCTTGTGTCAGCATTTTTTTCTACTTAATTCTTTCCTCTTTCTTTCTTTTCGACATACCATCTCTGTTTCAATTGTCACACAACCCTGGGCTGAGTCCAGCCCCTACAAAATGTTTTGAGATTGAACATGTCCCAGATGGAAAGTAAATTCCTTTGATTGGCGCTGTTGAGCCAATTGGATTTCAGCAAAGGTCCAAGTTGGGAGGGGTCGCTCTTATCACCCCCCCAATATTGAAAGTATTAGTTTGGCCCAGTCTGATAGACACACAGACAGTTCAGCACCAGCTGATGGATCATAAAGTAAAACAGAAAAAACAGAAAAATAAAAACTCTTGACCACTGGCCAGTTCGGGCTGAAATGGACCGTCCGGGAATGTTCCCGAATGTCCTGATGGCCAATCCGCGCCTGGTGGTGTGCCAGCATGGGAACGTCATCACAAACACCAGATTTAAAAACTCTGGCATACGGCGTTGGTGAATATTACGAGATTTACCTGCCAGCTAGAGGCTTAATCAGCATTGTGTGAATTTGTTTGGCTAGGACTTGAATGTAACAGACGTTATATTTAAGGTCCTACACTCTAGCTTTAAGTTACTCTTTACCAAGAAAAAATCTTCGAGACAAGCAACAGAAGAGGGGACCCCCTTCCAGGATAGACAAACACTATCATTATGATTAGGTTACACTATGGAGAAACTGATTGTCTACTGCTGCCAATTTTCAACTGGCATTATTTGACCTTGTAGTGTAACTGCCACTTTAGAAAAGTGTCAAACCCGTGCAAATGTATTTTTCATTGGAGTTTTTGACATAAACATCAATATAACTATTGTCAGGGGAATGGTTTCTCATTCATGTAATAGGTAGTCTCGTTTTTTTTATGCCAACATTTTTCCATAATCAAAGAGGATGTTGACACTTGTCCCAGCTCAATCACACTGATTGTTGTCTCTCTTTCTTTACTGAAGTGGATGAACATGTAATATTTTTACAGTCCGTTTTTCATTTCCTCCTCCATCTGCCAGTTGCAGACTCTATGAAAGCGTTAGCTTCCTTTATACTGAAAGAACAGTACGGCGTTCCAGCTGTGTGCTGTAAACAACATCTCTGCTGTGAAGCAACCCAAAAGATTTCCCACCAATTTGACAGGATCTTTCACAATGTAAAAAGGCTGGCTGTTTATTTATTGAGGATAAAAAGTATTAGCTGAACTCTGTCCTCCTGTTCATCTATCCCATTTTCACTATCCATCTCTCCAGCCAAACCAACACTTCTCACCAGACATCCACTAAATCCACACTGTTCAACAGATTTTGCAAAGGCTCTCCGAACCTTTAATGCTCTTTACTCTAGTGGTAATTAAAGGCTTAGTCTCCGAGCGGCCTTCACGCCAACTGCAGAGCATAAATGGATCACTGGGAGATGGCAACAGAGTGGCAGCAGAGCGGGCCTTTTGGACAGATTGGGCCCCCAGTAGCTAAAAGGACACCAACAGATGCCACAGCGACGGACGCATAGCGTGAGAGAGATTAAGGATGAAAAAAGACAGACAGAGAGGGAGAGAGTGACTGAACTAGTGAGCATATTGCACATTATAGCCCTCGTCAGGGCTGTGAAATACTCACAGTTGGAACTGGCGGTTGAGGTGCTCACAGCTTGTGGTTTGGTGGGTGGTATGTGTGCGCACATGCACATATTGTTGCTCTGACACTGGTGTCAGCCTGAAGCTTTTTCGGGGGAATGGAACAGAACAGGACTGTTGAGGTGTTGTGAAAAGTCAACAGTGAATAACTTTTAGCACTTTGTTTCATGAGTTGCAATGATGCCTTATCAAGTTCTGTAACAGTTACATGACAGGTCACTTCTGAGATGAATGTAGTTCTCTTTAACAACTGGCAGGAAGGAAAACAAGAAGAGAAAAGTAGTCCTTTTCAACTTTTCATGTCATGTTGTTTGCTTTGTGCTTGAATAATCAGTCCCGTCTAAGAGGATGTTTGTTGAGATCTAACTCAGTGCAGCTCATGTGCCAGTGACAGGGCAAAATGAATAAAAATCAAACAGATGTATATCTCCACATTTTCAGGAGATCCAGTGAGGCCAAGAAAACTAAGATGTTAATTTATGTTAAATATTCTATTTATTTTAAATATCTAATCTGAAATATTTCAGTGTTGTATTTTTTCTGTAGTTTATCACACAACAGTTATTCAAAGCAGGGACAATTTTGCTTTTGGACTTACAGTAGATTCCCTCTTTACAATGGCCCTTTTTGTAAACTAGCATATGTTCACAATGGAATTGACCCTTTGCTAAGCCACGGCCCGAATACGCAGCTGGCCAATCACAGCGCAGTATAGGACTTGCTCTAACTGGGGTCCGACACTTTCATGGCTGCGCTCCATTTACTCTAATGCAAAAGGAGTTGTTTTCTAGCTTTTTTGGACTGTATTTTTCTGAGATATGGTCAAACACTGTTCCTGGGGCACTTGCAATAATTACAGTCGCTACCTAGAGAGGTTGAAAGGAGAAGTACGATTTATTCTCTTTCCAAAACCTAAAATAAATCCAGAAAAATGTTGGCTGTGGATTGTTTCTAACTTCCTACTGAATGTAACATAATAAAGCCCTACTGTTCTGCTTTTTAATAAATGTAATAATGAATAGAGGCCTAACCAACTTTACAGGAACAGTGTCGTTGCTTAGCGAAAACTCTTGTGATCAGATTTGATCTAGCTAGCTAATTAAGCTAACATTAGCAATTTAGTCTTTCTTCCTACATAGAACAGTATTTCAATAATCAGCAACAATTTTGATTATGGATTCATCATTTCAGTTGTTCATTAAATTCAGCTTCTCAAATGTTCAGGTTTTTGCTTTTCTGTTTTATATCATTTTAAATAGTATAATGTTTTGGTTGGACAGTTGATGACACAAAGCAAGACATCTGAAGACGTCATCGTCATCTGAAGACGTTTGATCTGTGGACCCTTACAGACTAAAGGAATATTAATAATCAAGGAATGGACACATTCGGACTTAGCGAGTGCTTCAAAGGTAACGTGAGTCTGACCTTTTTTTGTTTCATCTCTTGTCACCGGTAAATCTATATGAATGAATGATTGTTGTTTCCATCCAAAGAACTTAAAAACCAGACCAGGCGTTTAATGGAGACCTGCGTTTATTTGTCAAAATGTGTTCCCACACCAGGCCAGTAACGGGGTAGTCTATTTGGGACTCGAATATTAATTGAAGTTTTACAATATTCATTTATTTGTCTGAAAAATAATTAACAAATTGATAAATAATGAAAATAATTGTGAATTTCAGTCATAATAGCCTGCTATTAATGCAGGGGCAGTGGAGCCCACTATCAACAAAGTGGGTGCCAAAATCAATGAATTATCTTTCTTTAATCATATTGACTA